AGAGAGAGAGAGAGAGAGAGAGAGAGAGAGAGAGATGGCAGGAGGTGGTGTGGTTCATGGGCCGGTGGGGGTGGCCAAGGAGAGGGCGCAGCAGTACAAGGGAAGGGTAACGCCGTTCGTCGTCATGGCCTGCTTGGTCGCTGCAGTCGGTGGATCCATCTTTGGCTACGACATCGGCATCTCAGGTAAACCATTCCTGCAAATTCTATGTATAATTAATCACCAGCTCTCTTCCTCCTCTCTAATTCTTCCTGTAAGGAAACAACGATTGCTAAGGGATAACTCCGAAAGAAAGATTCAGATAAGAGAGGAAAAAGGGTGCGAGAGATTAGATCTTGGCCGGGATCGGTGCGGAGGTGGTGGGAGGCTGCGGCTCCGTCCACGACGCCTCATTGAGTGACGCGTACAAACCTGTCCTGGTCTCTCGTGTTGGGGCCCATCGCCAGCGGTGAATCGAGCCGGGTCCCCCACCTCGTAGGTAAGATGCATCGACACGGGTCTTCTAAAAGGGAAGATCAAACCCCGTCGGTGAACGAATACTCCAGATAATAAAACAATACACGGTAAAAGAACTATTTGCAGTCCCTTCCCACCTATGTAGTAGAGTTGGTGGCTGCTACCGTAGTAGGTTGCCGCTATTTGCAGGTCAGGTATAGGTTGGGTGCTTCTCCCCATAAGGTGCATGCTTAGGTTACACATCCATCATGTTGATATGAATCGATTGGCCCGTTTCACCAACTCGATTGATGTTGTGAAGCGGACAGAGTTTCCGTTAGGATATGTAGTAGTGGTTGTTGAGTTGATATCGTTAACCGTGGGGTCATCATAGTTTGATTAAATCCCGAAAGCATAAAATTATCTAGAGGGCTCATGAGAAGATTAGAGTGGGAAGAGACTCCGATTGGTGAGGCTTTGAGGCGTTGCTCACTCACTAAAAGCGAGTTTGGTATTGTCTCTGACATGTACTTTAAATTCATCAAGATCCCAGCACAAGAGGTCAATATTGAAAAATATTCTCGACTTTGATTTTTCCGATGATCAAGTTAGTAAGATAGTAATAGTAGATAAAAATCTTATCTATTTAGGCTTGAGGATTAGTTTTTATACTTGAATGATCGATGAAGTACGATCGACCACTTCATCGTGTCCCCTTATGTCTTAAAAAACGATGACTGTGATAGCATCGTTTGCCAAGGGCTAAAGTTTATCTGGGATAAGAAAGGAATGATCCTCGATGTCAGAAAAAAAGAATTGAGCCAAATCGCTTTGGATTAATATTTTCTGCAACCCTCCCAAAATCATGATTGATGAGGGTGAGAGATTACTTACGACTGGTAACCCAGACGAGAAGGGAAATCTAAGGGAATCCAAATCAGGGGAATGAGCCTCGTTGTCGGAGAGTGATACTCCCTGCGATTAGCTCGTCTCCCAGGGATCGAGACGAACAAAGGGGGTGTCGACTCTCCTGTCAGAGAGTGAGCCTCGTCTCCGATTGGCTCGTCTCCTGCGATTGGCTCGTTGTCGGAGAATGAGCCTCGTCTCCCAGGGATCGGGACGAACAAAGACCGGAAGATCATGCTCCCGTCAACGACTGCGAGGACGGGGGTGCTGACTCTCCTGCGTACATCATCGCCTAGGTAGCAGTTTACGACAGGATCAGTCTAATGCTTGCTTCATCATTTTCTCTATCAATGCCAAACCTGAATGATGTGTGGCACGTCGCGCAAGCTTAACGGACACCTCGCTTTGTTGTCGTAGCTCAAGCGTTTGCTCTGTTGTTTAAACACTGCGTACTGCAGGAGGTGTCACAAGCATGGACCCGTTCCTGAAGAAGTTCTTCCCTGTCGTCTACCGCAAGAAGAACTCGCAGTCCCACAACAACTACTGCGAGTACGACAACCAGGGCCTCGCCGCCTTCACCTCCTCTCTCTACCTCGCCGGCCTCGTCGCCTCCCTTGCGGCCTCCCCCGTCACCAGGAAGCACGGCCGCCGCGCCAGCATCGTCTGTGGCGGCATCAGTTTTCTCGTCGGAGCCACCCTCAACTCCGCCGCCGTCAACCTGCCGATGCTGATCCTCGGCCGTATCATGCTCGGCATCGGTATCGGGTTCGGGAATCAGGTACTCTCTGCCTCCACTTCACCACCACCTTCTTCGTGAACTGATGATGAACACCGATATGGTGATGCAGGCAGTTCCTCTCTACCTCTCCGAGATGGCGCCGGCGCACCTCCGCGGCGGCTTGAACATGATGTTCCAGCTCGCGACGACCCTCGGAATTTTCTCCGCCAATATGATCAACTACGGCACCGAGAAGATCAAGCCGTGGGGGTGGCGTCTTTCCCTCGGCCTGGCAGCGGCCCCCGCGATCCTGATGACCATCGGAGGCGCCCTCCTGCCGGAGACCCCCAACAGCCTCGTCGAACAAGGGCGGGCCGAGGAAGGCCGCCGCGTCCTGGAGAAGATCCGCGGCACCAACGACGTGGACGCCGAGCTCCAAGACATAGTCGAAGCCAGCGAGCTCGCCAACTCGATCGAGCACCCCTTCCGGAACATACTGGAGCGCCGGAACCGGCCTCAGCTCATCATGGCCATCCTCATGCCCACGTTCCAGATCCTGACGGGCATCAACTCCATCCTCTTCTACGCGCCGGTGCTGTTCCAGAGCATGGGCTTCGGTGGGAACGCGGCGCTCTACTCCTCCGTCATGACCGGCGCCGTGCTCGCCTCTTCCACGCTTGTTTCCATCGCCACCGTCGACAGGTGGGGGAGAAGACCGCTGCTGATCGGCGGCGGATTACAGATGATCGTGTGTCAGGTTGCAGTGGCCGTCATACTAGGCGTCAAGTTCGGCGGCGACAAGCAGCTGTCGAAAGACTTCTCCATCGTCGTCGTCGTGGTGATCTGCCTCTTCGTTGCCGCCTTCGGGTGGTCGTGGGGGCCGCTGGGGTGGACGGTCCCGAGCGAGATATTCCCGCTGGAGACGAGGTCGGCCGGGCAGAGCATCACGGTGTCGGTGAACCTCCTCTTCACCTTTGCCATCGCCCAGTCCTTCCTCAGCCTCCTCTGCTCCTTCAAGTTCGGCATCTTCCTCTTCTTCGCCGGTTGGATCACCATAATGACCGTCTTCGTCTACGTCTTCCTCCCGGAGACCAAAGGGGTGCCTATCGAGGAGATGATACTGCTGTGGAGGAAGCACTGGTTCTGGAAGAGAGTCATGCCACCTATCGAAGTGGCGGATGAAGGCGGACCAGCAGAAGCAGAGTTGCCTGATACGAGGCTTTAATCAAAATTAGAGCACTGTCGTTCGAGAGTATTGTTGCTACCGATGCACTGTTCAAGTGCTATGCAAGCATCACTTAGTTGTACGTTATCACTAAGCTAACATGTAAGAAGTACAGTCCATGCAAATTTATCATGAGTAAATTGACTACTGCAAACAGATAGTTGATTTAGTTCATGTTAACCTACTATTGAGTTTTTAGAGCGCGCTTCCTCCCTTCCAGTACCGCCTGCCCTTCCCGAGCAATGCCACGTAGCGCTACAGCCAGATAAGCAAGAGGAGCACCCCCACGCGTCGAGCGAGAGACCGTATCAAGGCGTGGCTCGATACGTCCCGGAAAGCTCGGGACGACGTCACATGGCGTTGTTCCGCGCGTCCCGGAGCGACGACCGCACGAAGGTACCACCTCACCTCCCGAGGATCGATCGCTACGCCCGCGTACGACCGACCCTCATACAGTAGCATAAAAGCACCTAGCCGGGACCCGACCAAGAGAGGAAGAAAAAGAAAAACTCCAACCCGCCACTGACTTGATCGTCGGAGGGACCAAAGTCGGGAAACACCCATCGACGATCTTTTTTTTGCAGGAAAGCTATCATCGCAAGCAAGAAGGCGCTGATCAAACCCCCGCCACCGACGCTCAAAGTGGCGTTCGATCGATCTCGACACCCAGCTCAATCGACCAGAGACTCCCGACATTACCTTGTGGACCAAGCCGTGCTGATTCTATCAGCCACACGACACATCAATCCATCAACACACTATCGTCCACCCATCGACAGGACGGGTGAGGAAGCGATGGACGACGCTACTTGTTATGAGAGCTAGGGGCAAAGAGGACTCCCCCGCTTCCCTTCCCCTTCGTGCAACATCATCTATCCATTGCTAGGAGAGACGAACAAGGGGCGAAGGCGACAAGCGACGAGAGGGAGGACTCCCTCACCTCCCACCCATTGATAAGAGAGGCAAGTTGGCAACAAACGAAGTCGCTCGTTATGGGAGCAAGAGGCGAAGGCAACGAGCAACGAAAGAGACGACGGGAGGACTCCCCCGTCTCCCTTCCCTTCGTGCTTTGGAAAATATTTCACTTGGAAAATTAAATACTTACATACAGCAGTCAATTAGCATATAAATCAAATCATTTGGCAACATCTTCAAATAGTGTCCTTTGCGCGGAAAAAAGTAAATCCAACAGATATAAAAAAGACTAGGAGATAATGGCAACCTAACAACCAGAAGGTGAACTCAACAACTGCAACTATGTCTTATGCTTCTGTACATAATTTAGAATATTATGCTTCTGTACAAATCTTCACAAGATGAACCATAAGCATACCTATTATATCTGAATACAGGAGTTCATGTCAAAAGTAAGGGTATAAGACTTGCTCTCAACAAGTACAATTCAAAGGCTAAGTAGGCAACAGAAATGCACTCTAATTAGGAGTCAGATTAAGAAAAAGGAAAGCAAAGCAAACCATTGATTGTAGGCAATGGAACTACAGAAAACAACTAATTGCAACAAAAGTTATCATGCGGCAAATAGAATGCAATCCACAAAATGTAAAATTTTGTTCTCAAGGATGGTTTAAAAGATAGACAAAAAGATGTTATGATGATCTAGCAATCTAGAAGAATAAGCCTTGGCTACTCCAAGAGATGAAACCGATGATTACTAGGAAGGGATAAATTGCAAACAATCATAATAAAAATATATCTCCATCTCAAAACACACATTTCAACTCGAAGATTGACTAAATGCAAGGATAGAATTAACTATCCACAACAATTGTTCACTTGACCCCAGCAGAGATCCTTCAGTGCTGCAGCAATGACTATATATAGACAAATCACACAAACTATAACAGACATCTTCCACTGGGGACTCTAACAATCACATATGTAAGAGAATAGAAGCTCAAGATTATATGTTAGAACTCCAGACAGGATGTTAAACTAGTCATATCCAACGTAGTAATCGAAAGCATTAATCCTTCAAAACAATCAACAGTACTTCAATCATTGAACGTGACACTGCTAAATGCTAACCCCTTCATCCAATATTTTTCTTGCAGAGATTAGAACCACTAAACTGATTTATGCCTTAAGAAAAAACTACTATGCTAAAAACCAGTATGATGCCATTATCATTACCCTTTTCCTCTGATCTCTCATCGTCCTCCAGAAAATATAGAGGAAGATCTTTGAATCCGGAACAGGCATGAGAAGACAATTCCATGATATTTGAATCATGGCAGCTATTTTTCCCCATTAATCCATCATTTTTCGCATTACCAAATCAACTTTTCGCCTCAGGCGAATCTCAATCTTCACTTCAGCATCGGCGTGAAATCAACACACTCATCAGATGCAAACTGCTTCGTGGCGGCAGATTGTGGCTATCACGAGCACATCAGCTGACCGTCGCAGTTCCATTTCCTTACTTCCCGGCCACACCAGACTTCTTTAAGCAGAAACTCGGCAAGGGGAGTGAGCTCGGCGAGGGGGAGACGACGAACCCCGGCCCAGCGTACACGGGTTTGAGATCGAAGAACCCTAACTTCCTCGGCAGGTCGTCCGGGCCCGGCCCGAGCCGACTCGTCGGGCAAAAAACCGAGTCGGCCCAGTCCGGTAGGGCATCCGCGGGAGGGGACGCCACCGGCTTCAACTGCTCGCCGCGCTTCAGGATCTTCACCTCCTCCATGACGAGAACCCTCCTTGGGCGCGTCATGCCGTCGGTGGCGCCCTCGTTCTCGGGCGATGGCCATTGCCTTACGGGCCGCGGCGGTTTGGCCTTAGGAGGCGGCGACGGGGTCGATCGCGGAGGGCAGCCTCGGCCAGGCTTCATCGGAGTGGTGGCGGACGAGACAGGGGGCTTCTTCCGATGGGGCTTCGTCGACGGCAGCTGCGGAGAACGAGATCCGAAGGCGTCGAGATGTAGTCGCCCTTGGAGGCAATCCTGGGATCGGAGCACTGCTGCACCCATCGGGGTTGGAATCACCGACGACGACGGGATCGGCGGGAGATGAAAAGCCTACTGACTATACCTTCGCTGTGGTTGGGTAGCGGGTGGGTACCAACTCTGGTGTGTATATATAAATCGCAGAGCGGCGTTCATGCGTTTTGTCCGCGTGTGGGATCCATTTGGTCGCGAGGCGGTTCAGAACGCGGAGGAAGAAACCAGTCAACAAAGTCGAAACCCATCCATTGCTTACATGCACTGTCATTCGTCATCTTAGTGTGGGTCCCACATTTTTCGTGAACCGCCTCCAGACACGAGAACGCAGGTGAGACGGACAGGAAGATGAATCAGCGGACGACGGAAATACTAACGCCGTCGGCCTTGAATCATGTTACGATCGTACCATCCACGTGGCATCAATCTGACGAGTATGATCGTGTTTGGCGGTTTGTTAGACCACGATGGCGCAGGGGCAGTTTCGTCTGGGTGGAAAAAGTAGCAAGTGCGGCTTCTAATGATCGATAGGTTTGGACGGATGCGATGAGCGGGATTCCGCCGCTCGCGATCCGTCCGTTCGTTCATTCGTCGGTAGCGAGCGCCATAAACGTGTTCCGCAAGTAAGCATGCGCAGTGTACCATTTCCAGGAAGGTGGCGATCACCGACCTCTGCCGCCGACATGCTGTACGAGTGTCGATTGGATTTACCTTTTAAAATATATTACTATTTAGACTTTTACCCTAATTTATTTTCACATGAGAGTTATTTTTTAATTAATTAAATAAAATTATTTTTTTTAATCTTTTTTTAATATAATCTATAAAAGGCTCTCTTAGCTGTTCATAGAAAAATATTCAAATATTAGGAGAATTCATCCCAATAATAAATCCTGATTATAAGTTATGATTATGATAATATCATCTTATTCTATAAGGCATTCAAGTTTTAATTGTTATCTCCGAAATACTATTAATATCTTTATATAATATTATAATAGCAGTATGATCCAAGTTATAAATCATCATTATCAATCGCTCTCGCACTCATATGTTAGTCTTTTATATACTGTGATAAAAATAACACAAGTATAAAATATTATTATTGATTATATATAAAATATAATAGTTACTTTAGATAATTTTTCTTTAATAGATCATATGCTTAGTAATAAAAAAGTTATTATTTATGCTCTTAATGACTTAGGAGACAAATATAAAAAATTAGTGGTAATAATTCAAGCATGTAACTAACCAATGCCATTTGAGGAATTATATGATAACTTAACTAATCATGAAACATGTCTAAAACGAGAAGAGAGAAAGACATGATCAACTATCGTAGCTTAATTCAATTATAAATCCAAAGAAAAGGGTAATTAAAATAATAAAAACTTTAATAAAGAATTGAATAAGATGTCTTATAAATAAATAGGTAACATATAGAGCTATTATCCTTCATTACACTATTAATTCTATAAACATGATAGTAACTTCAACCCAAATAATTTAAGAAATAACTTCAGTTACAACTATCAACAGTTCTAGCATTCTAATAAAAACAATTAGAAAAAAGTTATCTACTAGCTCTACATAAAAAGTTGGATACACAAAAAGTTTATCGATCTCTACACCAGCCTTCATGTCACTTACCTTTTGATCACTATTTGAAAAATTATTTCATAAAATATCAAACCTTCAAAAACTTAAAAGTATTTAGATATTTGTGTTATCCTTGGCTATACCTCTATGTTTTACCTAAATTAATACCAAAATCCAAATCTTGCATATTTATTAGGTACTTCCATAAACATAATATTTTTCATGTTATAATCTTTAAACTCTAAAGGTTTTTGTATCATATCATATTATTTTTGTTGAGTCCACATTTTCCTTCCAAGATCTTGCTCATTTACTAATGTGAGTCAATACAATAACTATCTATCATTAGGTTCATATGAGTATACCTTAAACCCCCTCAAGTGTACCACTTACCACATCAATCACTAACACCTCATCCCGTATGCAACTTCTCTATTTATTTCTCTATCAACAACTCTATAATACTGGATAAAACAACACTCTCAACACCACAAATAATGTCTTTATCCTCTCCTCAACCAAGTGACACCGAAATATATCATCCTGATTGGGTACATGTCACTAACTGTTCACTAATTTTCATATATTGAACACAACCCAATAATACCATAGAGCTTCGGCATCACATGTCAATACTTTTCAAAAATGATATCTTCAAATCATGTTATCACAAGCTTTATGCTTAAGCATTATAAACCTACAACCATCATTTATGCCAAAAAATATCCAAACTAGCATAATACTATGTGTGAGGAATATGATGCCCAACTCCATAATGCCACATGGACCATTGTATTATCTCACCTCGTATAAAATATAATCGAGTGTAAGAAATCTTTTAAATTAAGCAGAACTTAGATGAATCCATTGCTAGATATAAATCGCATCTAATAGCCAAATGGTTTCATCAATGACCATGTGTTGATTTAATATCTTTAGTTTAATTATTAAACTAATGATAATTCGATTTATCCTAAGTTTGGTAATCACTCAAGGTTGACATGTATATCAACTTGATGTTAATAATACTTTCTTTTAAGAGGCCTTAATTAAAAACATCTTTATGCAACAATCTCCTAGCTTCATATAGTCTCAATATCCAAATCATATTTATAAACTATGAAAAGTTATTTATAGATTTCACCAAGCTTCAGGAGTTTAGTATATCGAACTTAGCTCCTTTTTTTATGTCAACCGATTTTGTCAACTCTAAGTCCGATGTCTCTTTAATTCTCATAATAATAAAAGGGATATGCTATATATCTACTAATATATGTATATGTAGATGACACTATCATCATAGGTAATAATTCTAAGAAGATCAGGTAATTTCTTAAGTAATTAATTGATCGATTCTCCATCAAAGACTTAAGAACTTTTAAGTTATTTTCTAGGAGTGAAAATAATATTTATATTTTCTAGATTTTTTTCTCTCTAAAAAAATATATATTTTGCATCTATTACTAAAGACGAACATATAGAATATAAAAAAAGTCATCATCTCACTCTTCACCATTGAGTCACTCAAATTATATGATGGCAGCTCTACTATAGATCTCATACTATACCTACAAGTGTTTGATTCCTTACACTATTTATCTCTTAGATGTCCAAGTATTTTATTTATTGTTAACAAATTATCAAAATTCAGCTCTCCACTAGGCAATGGTCTATATTAAAATGTATATTGTGATATCTTAAAAGGACTCTCAATTATAGATATTTTTTTCATAAACACTTATCACTCTATCTCTATACTTTCGCTAATGCTAATTGAGTAGGCAACAATGATAATAGCATATCTACATCAGCTTATATTATATTCTTTAAAATATTTAATCAGTTAAGATTCTAAAAAACATAATACAATCTTAAGATCCACTATTGAAACTGAATACTAAGCCATCACCACCATAATTTTAGAATTCAATTGAGTTACTAATCTACTATACAAACTTGGCATCACCTCCTAATCCACTCATATAATATACTATGATAATGCAAATGTCACCTACTTATGCGTCAACTCGGTATCTACTTGCACATAAAATGCATTACTATCAACTTTCACATTGTTATGTATCAAGTTATTATATGTTAACTACGTATTTCTCATATTCATACTTGTAACCAACTAGTGGACTCCATCACAAAGCCTCTCACTCATAGGATATTTCAGTTACATTGGTCCAAGATTAACATTCTTGACAAAAACTCAATTTTATGATAACGTATTTATGGATCATGCTAAAGGTAAATGTAAAAATATAACTTTGTATTTCTTACATGTTTTAATCCTTAATCAATCTATAATTTGAGGATCAATCATATATTTGAGTATATGCTCGAGAAAAATCTCTCCTTCAAAATTTGTATAAATATACATTACTTCAATGAATAATATATCCCTTTTATAATATTTTTTTAATTCTTTAAAAAGAATATCATTGGATAAAAGTTTAAATTTATTAAGAGGTATACGAGATGAGTCATATTTGAACAAGGATAACTTAAAGGACTTATAATTAATCTCATATATTAAAATTTTCTCCCTAGATGTATGCGAGCATTATTACTTATATTTGCTCTTAAAATAATTATTTTGATTCACTTAATAATAAATTAACTAGTAAATTAAGTTTGGGTGATGATTTAGAGGTCATGGGTGTCGATAAAGTGAAGATCAAAACATTTGATAGAGTAGTGTATATTTTAGAGAATTTAGCTTATATTCCAAAAGATATAAAAAAAATTATTTTTTTTTGAGTTTTTTAGATTCTAGATTATAGCTACGAGGTTGGAGCTGTAGTTCGAAAAGGTACTTTGGGTTACATAGTCTTAATGAAAGAAAGATTATATCAAGGGTTGAATCATTTATTTATAATGAAGTATAATAAAGATCTCAAAAGGTTGAAAATCGATTTTATACGTAGAGGATGGTATGTATATACCGTAGTGAGCTTTATTTATAATGCAAAAAAGGAAAGATAATATTTATGATTTTTGGGATGTAAATAGTTGTAAGAGAAAAAATTATATTGATAGTAAGACCAGAGATCTCTTTTCAGAATAAAGTAGTGCCATTAATTCGATTCCAGTTACACAGGATGTGTATGGTATAGGACCATGAACTGTTTCGGTTTGTGTAGCTATGGTAAATTCTTTAAGTCAATGGTTTAATATTTGCAAGAGATTTTAAGTGAAAAAAATACTTACCATAGAGATTATTAGGATTGATAAGTATTTTTATGAGTCATAATTATATTCAAACTAGTTTAGAGATGCCTAATTAAATTGAATTCCTCGATGAATTTGGATTTATTTCTATAAATATACTTCAAGTCTCAAAGTTTTGGTGAGAGAGAAATAAAATACTTTGGTGCTATGAGGGTGACCTTTAAGATTTTTAGAGATGGTAAAGAGAAAAGTCCTTAAGCCTATATAAGAGGAGTCGTAAGGGGGATAGCTCAAAGACTTTATAATTGATCTCATATATTTATTTTTAAAATTTAAATGAAAGTTTTCGAATCA